CAAAAATACTGTCTCTTGACGCCTGTTTTTCACTAGATAAAATAACATCAGAATGGTTCATGCAGTTTGAAACTTTCAAGCTAACATCTCGTCACTCTGCCAATTTTTGTCGATTTCAAGGATGGAAGCACGGGAATTATGCAATGTATAGTGAGGAATTGTACACTCAAAGCATTCAGAGGATAAGAAAATCTCCAGTTAGGGGCTGATTTTAGGGTATCATTTTGCGGAGGTTGCGTAAAAACCACTATTTCTGACAGACATCATTTCTTGTTGAGAAAGTATTTCAAATCATAAAGAGAAAACTGTCCGGAAACCGACAGTTATTCGAATTGGTAGTCAAAAATTCACCGATTCCACATAATTCGTTCCTAATACTGATAATTGAGTGGACGCAATAAATTGACTTCTGTTATATTTGATAAAGTTGCCAATCAATTTGCACCACGGTTTTGTTCACTCTTTGATCTGCTTTGTATATTGTTAGAATACCACTCGAGTTCCAAATTAACCAACGAAGGGCAAGAATTATCTTTCAAATAAATATAGACCAGTATTTTTGTTATCAGTCGTGTGATATTTGGAATATTCCAACATCTTCAGCGATTACTGTCTCCGAAATAATACTAAGGAGAGTCAGCAAGAGTCTAGAACTCTTACGCTTGATACTCTCAAGGTCCCTGTCGAAAGAAATGATGTTTCATCAATTAAATTGAATGAAGACTGTGAAAAACTGTGTTGTACATAATCTTCATTCTTCAGCACTTCATACTTTAAAGAACATGTGCACATTCTAGACATGAAACGTTTCGTATCTAGTACTATTACTTTTGTTTTACATTTCCATAAAAATGCGATAAAAAGTTGAATGACAACTAAATATGCAGAATCAGTCAACATACATTCACAAGGAAAAATATTACTGAAATTGCCCTCTTCGATTTCAATCACATCATGAATGCTTTCGATTGTAAAATACAAAGTTGTGGTTCATTTATAGATTCTTCAAAAGCATTCGACACTGTGAGTCATAAACTTCTGCTTCAGAAACTGTAACGATATGGCTAGAGAGAGACTGCTAAGAAGTCAATTCAATTATAGCTGCCAAGTAGAATTTGAGAAGTTGTTGTTGGGGAGACTGTGAGTGAACTGCGATTCATCGAGCAAGGTACCCCAAGGATCAATACTCGGACCCTTTTTTTCCATTTTCGCAAATATAATATTGTCATGGACTCTCATAGGACAACGTGGTGACATATACGAATGACACAAATTTCTTTATCGAAAAGAAATCATTTGAAACTCAACATTACTAAAACTGTGTTGATGAAGTTCACAAAAAATTCATATGTTTAAAAAAATGTTTGAAATGTGTTTTTTTCGTCAACCAGATATCGCACCCCTACGAACGACAACCCTCAGAAGTCGAAACTTAGGCGAGCTAAGGATAACGAGATCTTACCTTTCAAAGTGTGATTCCTGACACGGATTTTCTGTTTTTATATGAGGATGACGATTTTCATTTGAAAGACTGGCATATTGAGTTTCACATGTTACTTTATCAGCATAATTTAGGGAAAACTATTGGATACTCGAGCTACTGCCATCATCGATGAAACAAAAAAACTTTTCGTTTTTTTTTAGAAAATGGCTTGAATGTCTTGAACGCTGAATTCTGTCGATTGAATATTTTAGGCTATAGGCGGCTTCAATTATTCAGTGTTCATTTCGACAGTGATATTTTGTTGGATAATTCGTTAGATCACATTATCAACTGTCGATTTGTCTCTTCGGAGGATTTTAGATGTCGATGTTTTTTTATGGAAAAGTTAATCAACGTTTCGCGATCATTAGGGAGTCGTTAATCGTAGGTGAATTCTCATTATTTCCCTAGTTTTTGCAGGTTTGCTATATTTCATGCAGCTCATATTTCTCTAATGAGTTCACAAAAATCATAAATATAATTTTCTAGGGGTTTATATGTCTTGGAGTCATCCCGAGCAATGGAAATTACTCGAGAGAGAACTTTTTTGTAGACCTTCTNTATCTGGTAGGGTTCAGTCAGCGTTTTCAATGTAAGCGCAAAAAATGTATTTATTTACGACATCACATTAGAAACCTCCAAAATTATCAGTGTTTCTCTATTATATTATGCATGGTATTTACTCATAAACCTTCTTCTTGAATCACTTCATCAATTAAAAAACCCACATCAAAATTACGTAGTTTCAAAAATGTAAGCATGTAGTGATTCGCTGGTCGCAAAATTTTAATATTCATCGCATCTTAAGAATATAACTAACGGAGTAAAGACCCGATCCAGGAAGTTCAGCAACCGACCTAAGTACCGTTACTTACTTTCCGTTCCTTCCACGTGAGCTACTCTCAGCGAATATTGTTTAACTCAGGTGTATTTGTCATTAGTATCAGTTATGTAAGTGTTGACTAATATATGTCTAAAGGGGACAATACACAACTCTTCTTCCCTCTCATGAGGGTTGTAGAAGTGCCCGGAACCCCCAATCATTTCCAATTTTTCCTGTTAAATTTACTTACTCATGTGAATGAATGAGATTTATATTATATTGATATAGTAGTCTTTCTACATCGTTACTTATCAAAGTTCATCTTCAATTGGTTACCGTTCTTCCAGACTAGATTTTATATATTACATTTCTCTAAACGCATCTTAAGAATATAACTAACGGAGTAAAGACCCGTTCCAGGAAGTTTAGTACTCCGTACAATCCAGCAACCGACCTAAGTACCGCATAGCTGAATTTGTTTTTGTTCATTTTCTTACTTTCCGTTCCTTCCACGTGAGCTACTCTCAGCGAATATTGTTTAACTCAGGTGTTTTTGTCATTAGTATCAGTTATATAAGTGTTGACATATATATGTCTTAAGGGGACAATACAGTTTACTTCCACAACTCTTCTTGAGTTCTGTGCACTTCAAGGGAAGGGCACGGAACCCCCAATCATTTCCAATTTTTCCTGTTAAATTAACTTACTCATGTGAATGAATGAGATTTATATTATATCGATATAGTAGTCTTTCTACATCGTTACTTATCAAAGTTCATCTTCAATTGGTTACCGTTCTTCCAGACTAGATTTCATATATTAAATTTCTCTAATTTCTTCATTTTGAGTCAGGGTTAAATACTTCAATCTATTGGCGCTCGTTAGAGTAACACCCAGTATTTGAGAAACTCACTTCTCTCTCCCTGTTCAGGCTAGCTGTGAGCATAACCATTAACCCCACCTTGTTAGCGTAATCATTTTATGATTTTTTATGTATTTTATAACGCTGATAAATTTATTTCGTGACACAGTTGATTACAGTCTCACACGTACACCACATATTGACACACTCTGCGAAAAATTACGTAAAAACTGTTACGCAATGAGATTCTTATCATCTGCGAAACGGAACTTGAACTGGGGTTCGAACTGTGAAAAGGATTTTCATTTTGCTATATCAGTACCTAGTTCGAATAATCGCTAATCACTAAAATGGGATGGATAAAGTCATATAAGAGGGCTTTCACAGAACTGAACTGTATGACCAGATAAACTTTTTCATCGAATCAGCAAATTCATAATTATCCAATTCATTTTGGAATTTCACTAGTACTTATATCACATCGAACAACCATTCACCAGAAAAACCATTTCTATCTTGGATCAAAAATTTCAACAAATCACATGAGATCATGAGAGCATACTAGGGACTATTCCTTGGACTATTAGGATATTTTGTCCGTTGATGATTTTGGATAGGGCACTTTGTTTCGAAGATACGGGGCAAAAAAATTTCGGCAATAATAATGTATTACCAAAAATAACATGTTATATGTCTTAATCTACAAAAACCGTTGAGAATGATTACCCCCCGCTCGGATCTAGAATCCAATTTTCCCTCATTGACTCCCGAACTCTTTCAAAAACACCTTTAAATTTTTGCCGCATGTTTGATAAACACCATGTATTAATATTTCAGAACCAAGATTGAATACCTTTTCAATTGATCAGAATTACTGCTCTCTGGATCAATTACTACACTCTGGTTTTGTTAATTTTTTTACAAATACCAATCACTTTGTATTTTGTTTTGTACTTTTCAACAAGCTGAACAAATAGATTATTATCAATATTATAATTATTATAACTCATCACAAGTTTGTATATTTGTTGGAGATTACATGGCATCAGGACCTGAACGTTATTTGGAGCCTGAAAACGTGTTATTTTGAATTTTATTTCAGGATTCATGGTTTTTCAGTTCATCATTGGAATACTACCGGTACAGTTCTGTATTGATTTAGTATAAAAAATAGTGTATTCTTAAGAAACAACAAAAAAAGTCAGGAAATGGAAACGGAACCTAAGGTAATACGTTCTATATATAGATGTGTCCTCTGCTGATCTTTTTCAGAGAAAAAAATGGAAAGTCTGTAAAAAAAACATGATTTTTTCTATGGACATTGAATCATACAGAAATTACTTCCTTACAAATTGTACAATAGTAAAAAAATATTTGAAAATATTTCCCAATATTTCTGTTATACAAAAGTATGGAAAAATTACATCACACAATAATTTTCAGCTCTTTCAAATATTAGGAATTGTTTATGTTGACTGGACTACTAGGAAAATTTAATATTTCACTTTCAGAGCCATACCACCAAATAGGGTTAATACTATTTACGTAGCCTTCGTCAAGTTCTGAAAGCTCCCACAAATCCAATTAGTTTAAACTATGGATTATATGAAACTGTGAAATAGAGCGAAGTGGCGGTATCATTTGAAGGATTCAACACCTTAATTCAATTTCTACGAGATGAATTTGAATATTAAAATCATTATTTATATCATATCTGCAAAATTTCACACTTCCTTCGTTATATGGTTTATGTAATGTGAAAAATTCTCTTTTCATCATCGGCAAATTTTTTTTTTTCAGTAAACATAATATTGTTGTTGATATTGTTGCAGAGCTGGAGAAAGGGATTCCTCTCGCAGCGCAGACAATTCACTGCGCAGAGCTGGAGGAGTTGCAGGAGTTGCTCCATTTCCCTGAAGAGGTTGCCCTTCGCCTGGCTGATACTGAGTACCAACTATTCTATCAGGTATGAAAAAATGTATGATTGGGAATTTGGGTTTCTTAATCAATTTCGAAATATAATCGATTGGAATATGTGTTCGAAATGTGTTTTTCCGTTAACTTATTGTCGAATGACAAATCATCGATGTCAAAACTTGTGTGAGATAACGAGGTGTCACAATTCAATGTCTGATTTCCAGTACGGAGGACAATCGTTCACACTACCATCTGGCGGCTGATATTACGAATCTATCAACAAATCTTACAAACTGTAAAAATAACATATGATTTGTGAAGAAAATAGCATCAAAATAGAAGAAAAAATAATGTGAGATATCTAAGGCGTCCTTATCTCATTGTGAGAAAGTTTCGGGAAAAATCTATTACACTACCTTGATAAGGAAGTCAGTTACCGTTTTCATAAAAAATCGATGTAACGATGCTGTATCGATGATCTATACACCAAAACATCACAACAAGGAAAATCATTCACCGAATCAGGACTCAAATTGAAATGAAAAACCACTGCACAGAACTTGAAATGATGAACATTGGAAATAATGTTTTTGTTAATGTCAAAATTCCTCTGTCTGGGATTCAATAACCATGTGTATACGTAATGTCATCATGAAAAGAGCAGAGTTATCTTTCCTAGTGATGTAAAGTCGTGATGTCATCACAGGGATGAGGACTTGTCTTTGTTATCAAAAACGGTGCTGATGTGGTGATGAGAATAGGGTTCTGTCTCGAATATTGAAAGTAGACCATCTTTTGGTGGTACTGATATAAACTTTTCCGCAGGTGCATGGTACTCCCTCAGCTGATAGGGGATATCTTTTACCTTTGGCAGATCTGAGGCTTTGTTGTATTTTCTTAGTGGGCCTGAACACTGGTTTCATTTTATGCTTTCCCATTCTGTCGGTAACCCTAGGCATGTACGGTAGAAATGCACGTGCATCCGTTTGACTTTCCTCCCTATTTTGACTAATGAAAGTCTTCAGTTTCATGGCCTTGTTGATATCGGTTACACTGTATTAATTCGATCTTAAAGCCACTTGAAGATGCTCCAATTGCTTCTTCTCTCAAATTGCTCCACGAAGAATTTGGCTATCAACGGGCTGAGTGGACTTCCCATCGCTACGCCGTCTAATTGCTCACAGAAATCTCCTTTCCATTGGAGAACTAACTTCTCGTGAGGCAGGCCTTGAAGAGTTCGACAATATGACTAGGAAACAGGTTGACTATCACTCAAAGAATCTTTTAGCGAGACACTAGTGAACAAGGACACAACTTCGAAGCTGACCAGATTATCCATGGCTCCAAGGGTATATTCTTAATTTTTCCCACAAAGTATGTTGAGTCCTTGACGTACGAATTTGTTTTTCCAACATGGAGCTGGAGAAGCGATGCTAGGTGTTTTGACTAGTTATATGCAGGCGAACCCAGTGCGCTCATTATGGATCTCAACGAAACCTCTTTTTTGTGTATCTTCGGAAGACTTAGAGCCTTAGCTGGACGGCTTCTGTTCTTAGAATGGTCTTCTGGATAGTTTCCGAAAATAATAATGATTTTTTGAGCCGATCCGCAGCCTTGATTGTGTTGGGTCTCTTTTTAGCGTGCCGAAGCTGGACGGGTCGAGAAGTTCTTCAATTTTTCCGATGTATTCTTCTGTTATCAAGAGCGCCGTGGCATTTCCTTTGTCAGTTGGTAGAATGGTGATCTTTTCATCTGAGTTTAGGTTTTTCAATGCCACAACATCTCTTTTTGGTATATTGCATTCTGGTGTTCGGGTCTTGCGCAGAATATTCGCTGTCTCAATGCAAATTTTCTCCGCTTTCATCCGGTAGAGTTCTGATTGCCGCTTCCGTATCAGCTATAATTTCATCATTCGGTACCCGCCACGTTGTCACCTCAAAAACCACAAGAGGAGACTAAATCATCTGTCGGTAACAAATAAGACAGATGGGTATCCGCGGCTAAGCTAAACAGTGGAGACGGGAGTGGGTTAAACAACTTAGCAAATTTCAAATAGATCTTAATGGGCGCCAGGTAAATTTAATCCTCCAGATACCCTAAGTAACTCACAATATCAATAACTTACCAATTAATATTGGAAATAAAAGATAAAGATCCCCAATATGATTTATTCAGTAATCCTAACTTACATGGATTAACCAACAACGCTTCTAAGACAACAATGCAATATTCACACTACTACGCGATGTTCAAATGTCCATACAAGAGCGCGGTGTATCTAACCACGAATTCAATCAGCNTCCAATCTACACTACAAGCACCAAGGGGGCGCTGTGCACAACATCATAAATCTATCAATTCCTCCACAGCCACTTGAGACAACATCAACAAGTCCATGACCCATCAAAACTCCTTCTCAAAGCAATGCAACCCTAAAATAACCCTTGACAACTTGAGTAGCCGAGTAACCTTGTTTACGAATGTTTACAAAATATTGTTCCAACCTATTTTCAACTATTTACCAATCCTTATCCATGCGATGGAATAGAAACATATAAGGTAAGTCGCCACATCTTACCCATTCAGTTTGAATATTTGAACATTCATATTATGCAGAATATTTACCGAAAATATCAAACAGTATTCAGAAACCAGAGCTAACTAATATTGTCTTTCAGGCGATATGGCTCTAATATGTCAGTAAACCTTCTGGAAGTGATAATAACAATCTATGCAAGAAATAATAGTAATAATATAAAGAAATAATGATAGGCGAAGTAAAGTGAGAAACAAACAATAACAACTATTTCAACCTAGCGAGGAATTTTCGGATCTCCAACGTCGATTGGCAATAGGAGAATGTGTAAGTACTGGTCAAAGCAGTTAGTCAGGGAGCATACATATATTCTTGTACATTTCAGGTATGGTTTTCTATGGAACGGAAGATCCCCATTACTATGATGTTAAATGAATAAAATCTACCTGTAACTCAATTACATTGTTAATATCCTTTGAATAAAGATCTTAAAAGGTAACGTAGTGTTTTGAAAGGTCACATAAGAGCAGTTTGATCTAGTGCTAAATTGAAACGTAACAACGGAATGACCGGGAAGTTACCACCTCTTGCTAGAACTACCATTTCATCTTCCGTGAGGACCCGATCTGTTGGGTTCACGACTACTCTGGACCTGTCCAAACATAGGGGTTTTGAGGCTTTGGGCACTGTGAAATTTGTAATACTTCTTTTTGTGGTTTTCTCTTAATCTGTCTCGTTCACTCCTCATGTTCGGGTAGGATATGCCATCCAATTTATTCCAGTGTTCTGCCAGTTGATTCCGTGTATTGTGAATCCGTTCTCGTAGAAAGGCTCGTTCACTTTTTAAATAGATCCGAATCGCACGAGCTGATCTGATAGTTCGCTTCAGCTTTAGAAAAGCTGGTATGATATTTGTGACCCCACAGCGGCATAAGAACGCCAATATTTCAAGTGAGTGTGCCTTTCTTTTCCTACCTTTTTCTAGATAAATTTATTGTTTCAGTATTTCCTTCCGTTTGAGGCGTCTGATGAATTAGTTAAGGCTTTCGCGGCCGAGATTTTCAGTGTTACTATCTTCATTCGGGTTTGAATGCCGTCGAAGTTTGGAACTGCATTCCAACGTTTCGCCATCACGAGTGGCTGGCTTCTTCAGAAGTTTATTCATCTTGATGTTTATTCACCGATGACGATAGTGTTTCGTGTGATATTTCATATTAATAATTTTCCAATTACTAGCACAGTTTTTTTTTCACGCTTGACGGAATGCAATCCTCTTTTCATCCCATACATGACTTCTGGAGGAAATTTCAACATGTCCTGTAACTAAAAGTCTCACTCCACGAATGTATTCAGTGTGATTCATAACAAAAAATCAGGTAAAATTTGTTGAGTAATAAATAAATGTAATTTATAATTGCCATAATTGAATTCAAAAAAAGTTTAACCATTTCACAGTAATTATTAAAATATTTGAATGATTCGTTTCAAAACTTATATAACTTATACATTTGAAAAAATTTGATATGAAATTTTGCTGAGGATTCACCGCGAAAAATCCAATGGTATATACAAGTGAGTTTTCAGATCCTGATATTATGTTCTGTAATGGTCGACAGAAGTCGTTCACCGATTGAGTTATTGTGAGTGTCAGTTAGTAAAGAGCTGATGTCGACACAAGCAGATATTGAAGGCTCTGTACTTGTAGCTTCTAAGTGAAAAATTTCTTGCAAGTTTGAA